ATAGTGGTGAGTATCCCCGCCTGTCACGCGGGAGACCGGGGTTCAATTCCCCGCCGGAGAGACTTTTAATTTTTACGTTAAGATGATTTTAGTTTTCTTTCTGGACGATTCAAAATTAATTTTTAGGCAACTTGCTTACCTCTTTTAGCAAAAGAAAACGGAAATCTGACAAAAGAAAGTTAGTATTTAGATGAATAGAAAAAAAATAAACAATTCACTTCACTTCAAAAAATTTATACGTTGTATGGAGTACGTGAGTACGACGTATAGTAAAGTGACTCACAAAAATGTGTCAATGTTTTATGTTTTTTGGCTTTCCTTAATGCACAACATAAATGAATAAAGATACATTAATAAAAGTATTTTTAATGGAAAGTTGACAAGATTTGCATTATTTTTATAGCTTCTTAGTCTTATTTACGGATCCTTCCCCATATACCGCCGTCGGATTTTGAAAAATGCAATTTTCTTTTATGGGAATGGCTCTCTAATATATTATTAGTGAAAAAAATACCGACTTTGTCGTTTATTGACTTCTTGAGGTACGAAAGAGTAAAATTTCAGATAGTATTAAGCAAAAATAACAAAGAATATAATTATGTTTTTATAATATTTAATGGTTACCTTTATTCAAAATTAATAATTTCTCGATATTTATATTAAATTTGCTACAACAATAAAGTTTATGTGACAACAGGGAAAATTGTGATTATAGTAAAGATGCATAAGTGTTGTCTTCTTGATTTTCTCATGTTGTCAACTAATTATGCCGACGTCTTCTATTTTCACAAATTATGCATAATTTTGACTTCTTTCTTCACACGTCTGAATCCTTTACTATCGGCTCAAATCTTCTTTTATTTTGTCTATTAATTCTAAACGATAGATTGTACTCTACTTCTATTTGTTGGTTCTCTACTTCGTTCCTAATAGACTGGACAATCCAACATATTTTAGCTGTAGGTTATCACTACTAGTGGTATTACAATAAAAGGAAATTTTATTCTTCAAAGTCCGACGGCGGTGTATGGGGAATTAACTAAATTATATTATACTCAAAAAATGATTTCAATGGATCGCTCATTTAGAACTGCGATTACGTAACAGTAGCTCATATGACTGTGTTCTTTTTTGTTTATTATTGCCTAATTAGTCAAAGATTATTACCTATTAGCTCTACAATCCTTGTCCGTTTTTTAAGTAATATAGACGTCATAAAATCCATAAAGTGAAAACATTGAAACCATTTTTGAGTTAGTGTAGTAATTTGCTTCGCGTAGCTGCTCAAGTAGATGAAGCATTTTCAGGAAAAGAGGAAGAGGAAGAAACGGTTATTGCCGATAGCGATGACGAATATGAGAATGAGAAAGTAGAAGCCAACAAGAACAGTAGACATGTAGAAGAAGAGCAAGCGATCAATGTCGAAGAAGACATTGTAGACGACAGCAACGAAAACAGCTTTGTAGACGAAGACATAGATGATGGGGTCAACGAAGGTAATTCAAATACAGTGACTCACAAAACCGGCCCAATGTTTTGCACTTTTCCCTTTGATGATGTATTACACGTTATTGGGACAAGCTACATACACAATTCTTATATCATTATAATCATCGAAAAGCTCTCTATATACAGTAGGCGGAAAAATTGTCCGGATGTTTTGACAAAAATGACAAAAACACTTATAACTAATGAACAAATAAAGCAAATAACACAGAACAAAATGTATTTAAAGGGTAAAATTGTCTAGTTTTATTGATATAAATTTCAAGAAATATGATTGGTTAAAATATACTAAAATCGGAGGTTAAAGTT